AGGCCCAGAGTTCAGGCCCCACGACTGGACACCCAAAAAATAAATAAATAAAAATCCAATGGCCTGTAGGCTTATTGGTCCTGGACTCCCTCTAGTGGCTCATGCTTTTGGTGCTGTAATTGATGCTTTTCAATACACAGCATTATCATTTGGCCATCTTAACAGCAAGGCAGTAAAAAACACCTACACAACTATTAGAATGATTTTCTTTTTCTTTTTCTTGATCTTGGGGCTTGAACTCTGGTCTTGGGCACTGTCCCTCAGCTCTTCAGCTCAAGGCGAGTGCTCTACTGCTTGAGCCACAGTGCTATTTCCAGTTTTCTAGTGGTTTATTGGAGATAAGAGTCTCACGAACTTTCCTGCCCGGGCTGGCTTTGAACCGCAATCCTCAGATCCCAGCTTCCTGAGTGGCTAGGATTACAAGTGTGAGCCACCTTCGCCAGGCACCATAAATTTTAAAAGAAAATCATTTTAAGCCGGCGCTGGAGGCTCATGCTTGTAATCCTAGTTACTCAGGAGGCTGAGATCTGAGCATTGTGGTTCAAAGCCAGCCCCGGCAGGAAAGTCCATGAGACTCCTATCTCCAATAAAACACCAGAAAACCAGAAGTAGTGCTGTGGCTCAGTGGTAGAGTGCTTGTCTTGAGCTGAAGAGCTGAGGGACAGCACCCAGGCCCAGAGTTCAAGCCCCATGACTGATTAAATAAATAAATAAATAATATGTCAAGCTGGGTGTAAGTGGCTCACACCTATAATCCTATCTACTCAGGAGGCTGAGATCTGAGGATCGTGGTTCAAAGCCAGCCTGGGCAGGAAAATCTGTGATACTCTATCTCCAATAAACCACTCAGAAAACTGAAAGTGGCGCTGTGGCTCAACTGGTAGACCACTAGCCTTGAGCTGAAGAGCTGAGGGAAAGCACCCAAGCCCAGAGTTCAAGCCCCAGGACTGAAAAAAATATTATGTCATTGATTGTTAAGATAAATATGAATTTATATATAATTGCAATAATAGTGTTAGTAATGGTCTGACTCAAAAAAAAACAGAATAAATTTTACTGACAGGATGATATAGTTCTACTGAGAGTGAATGGATAAGAATTGAAGTCTCAGAAACAGGTTCCTTTGTTGATTCTGTTTGCAACCTAAGGTGAGGATTGGGCATTTTAGGGAGTGAGTGTAGTGACTATTCCTGGCTGTGGGTCCTACTTTAATTTGACTATAAAACCAACCTCAGGGGGCTGGGAAGGTGGCTCAGTGGTAGAGTGCTTGCCTTGCATGCCTGGGGCCCTGGGTTCAATTCCTCAGCAGCACCACATAAGCAAAAAGAAAAAAGCTGGGAGTGGCACTGTGGCTCAAGTGGTAGAGTGCTAGCCTTGAGCTGAACAGCTGAGGGACAGCGCCCAGGCCCAGAGTTCAGGCCACACGACCGGACCGCCCCACCCCCCAAAAAATAAAACCAACCTCAGACCAACCCCAAACAACATATAGTTTCCTTCATATTATATTCTTAACATCATAACCTCTACCTCAATTTTAAAGCAATGCAGAAAACTATAACATTTTTTATCATTGATTTCTTTTTTTTTTCCAGTTGTGGGGCTTGAACTCTGGGCCTGGGCACTGTCCCTGAGCTCTTCAGCTCTAGTGCTCTACCACTTGAGCCACAGGGCCACTTTCTGGCTTTTTCTGTTTATGTGGTGCTGAGGAATCGAACCCAAGGCCTCATGCATGCAAGGCAAGCACTTTACCACTGAACCACCTTGCCAGCCCCTCTGCATATTACCTTTATAATAACAATAACAAACTTAGCTGGTTGCCCGTGGCTCACGCCTATAATCCTAGCACTCAGAAGGCTGAGATCTGAGGATTATGGTTCAAAGCCAGCCCAGACCTTCTCAGCCCCTATCATTGATTTCTTTATGCTTACTTCCCTATGTTGACATTGGTCATGTCCATTGGTTGTACCTTCCTCATGACTATGCTTAAAACAAGAAGTGGAAAAAAAATCTTAAATTCACCACATTAAACTTCCATTTCCTGGCCAGTCTGTACTATTGATGTACACAAATATATTAACTCTTTTACATGACAACCCTTTTTATTTAATACATTTATTGTCTTTTTTCTAGATCTGCAAAAGCTTTTTGTAGCTGGAATAAAAGAAACTTCATGAGCTATAGGCAATATGATACAATAACTTCACGGGTATGCTATTTATACACTTTAGGGATCAGTTTGTTAGTTTTGTCAGTTATGGAGCTTGAACTCTGGGCCTGGGTGCTGTCCTTGAGCTTTTTTATTCAAGACCTAGAGCTCTACCATTTTGAGCCACAGTGCCACTACCAGTTTTCTAGTGGTTAATTGGAGATAAGAGTCTCACGGACTTTCCTTCCAGGGCTGGCTTTGAAGCTGTGATCCTTACATCTCAGCTTCTTGAGGAGCTAGGATTACCAGTGCGTGCCATCTTATTTCACAAAATGTTATTGAAAAAGTCTGAAGACCAGAGGGAAAGAAGCTAAAAAATAGTAAGAGAAAGAAGAAACTAAGAACATGTAATTTGCCTACTTTAGGACTTAATGCTATGTGCATTATTTTGTGGAGCCTTTTAGTTTTTTTCAGCTCTAGAGATGGGAAAGTACAGCAGAAATCAGATAAGTTACTGTGGAGTCTAAAAACCTGTCATAGTGTCTGCCATTAACTTCAGATAGAATGAGGCCAGGAATTGGCATTGGTCTTAGGGTTTGTAATCACATAACACTTTCTCTTCACAATATATTGCTATAATGTGGAATAATTGGCATAACAACAGCTTCCCAGCACCATGGGCACAATTCAGGATATCCATTTTGTTATCTCACAAATCTGGATTGCTGTGAAGGCTGGACAAATAAAGATAGGAGGATGTGAATAGAATTTTTAAAAAGAGCATATTTTCTTGCCTTTGAATATCTGTAGTTTTGCTTTGTTTTGCCGGTCCTGGGGCTTGAATTCAGGACCTAGGCTCTGTCCCTGAGCTTCTCTGTGCTCAAGGCTAGTGCTCTACACTGGAGACACAGCGCCACTTCGAGTTTTTTCTGTTTCTGTGGTACTGAGGAATTGAACCCAGGGCTTCCTGCATGCTAGGCAAGCACTCTACCACTAAGCCCCCTGTAGTTTTTTTTTAAAAATGAGAATTAAAAAATATAGGAGCCCAGGAGCAGGTGGCTCCGGTGGCTTATGCCTGTAATCCTAGCTGCTCAGAAGGCTGAGATCTGAGGATCGCTGTTCAAAGCCAACCGGGACAGAAAAGTTCGTAATCGTAAGACTCTTATCTGGGACAGCATCCAGACCGAGTGCAAGCCCCAGAGCCCCAGGACTGGGGTGGGGGCTGGGGGGGGGGAAGGGGTAGAAAGAGAGGGAGAGAGGGAGGGAGAGGAGGGGGGAAGAGAGGAGGGAGGGAGGGAATTTTCTGATATAAATAGGAGTTACTTATGAGAAGGGGAGAGAGAAGGCAGAAAGCAGGGGGACAAGTAATAGGCAGTTAGTGATCTGCCCAAATACAGTCTAGGACTTATGCTTCTGTGCACCAAATAGCCAGTAAGCATGTATTGCAAGAACAAAAGAGGTCAGTGATAAACTTTCAAAGGAGTAAATATGGGATCAGAACAATTTATCGGTGTGCTAGGATTATATCAGATAGCTTAGTTTTCCTTCTCCCCCGCCCCCGCAAAGATTTTGTTTAAAAAATCTGATATTTTTATAATATTTTGCATAACTCACAAAACAGTCTGCAAAGGACTTTAAATATCATCGAGCTCCTCTTCTGCTACGCTGGTGCTTTTTTGGTAGAAAGTCATGTCTGGACTTCCCCAACAGGTTGGAACCCCAGTTGTAGCAGACGGAGCACAACTATTCCAAGTCACGGAAGACATGAATACTATAGCACTCAAAATGCGGCTGGGAAGAGTATGCAATGGCGGTGACTCCCATCGTATGTGTGACCACCAAAGGTACATACATAATGCACTAGTAAAGTGAGCTTACGCTGCGCCCCCGTCACCTGTTAACATAAATAATCAACACAAAACCCTCAGAAAGGGAAAAACTCCCGCGGGGTGAATCCACACTCCACTGGAGGGCGGGGCTTGTCGCATCGCTTTCCTATTGGTCCTCCTGGCCTTCACTCAGCTGCTAGCAACCAATCGTCTTCGACGCACGCGCGTCATCGGCTTCCGCCGTGGAAGCGCGCTGTCCGGTTGGTGGAACGCTTGCCCGGGTTTCCCGGGGCCTGTATCTCCCTCGTGTTATGGCACCAGACTCGGGTCCCGCACCCGAAGCTCCCCTCTTAACTCTGTTACCGGTAGATGCGAGGGACCGGGGCACCCAGCGCTGCCGCCTGGGCCCGGCCGCCCTCCGCACCTTGGGCGCGCACCTGGGCTCAGCGGTGAGGATCTCGCTGCCGGATGGCGGCTCCTGCCTCTGCACGGCCTGGCCGCGAGCGAATGGGGCGGACGGCTTCGTGCAGTTCGACCCGCAGTGCGCGAGTCCCGGGGCGGCGGTGGAGACGCTGGGGTCTCGGAGGAGCCTCAGCCTCAGCAGCCTCCACCCGGTGCCCTGTCCCCGCCTCCGGCGCCTGGTCGTGTGGCCGGTGTTTCGAGAAGAGGCGGGCGCGCCGGCGACCCCGAGTCCGGCCGTGGCGCTGGAGGCCGCGCAGGAGTTGCTGAGGAACCGGCCTGTCGCCCGGGGACACGTTCTGGCCGCTCCTCCCGGCGCCCCAGGCCCCGTGGCGGCCCTGCACATCGTCGGCGGGACGCCCGACCCGCATCTGGCTGGGCTGGTCACCCCTAAAACTTGCATCGTCCTCAGCCGGGATCCTCCGTCGCAAGCTGAGCGTCCACCCGAGGTGTCCCTGGGCGGCCTTTCCGAGGTGGCCGACTCGCTGCGTGAGCTGCTCTGCCTTCCACTGCGCTACCCCCGCGCCCTGGCAGCGCTGGGTCTAGCGGTACCCCGTGGGGTGCTCCTGGTGGGACCCGCCGGAGTGGGAAAGACCCAGCTGGTGGGATCGGTGGCCCGGGAGGTGGGTGCCCAGCTGCTGGCAGTGAGCGCCCCCGCGCTGCAAGGCTCCCGGCCTGGGGAGACCGAGGAGAACGTGCGGCGGGTCTTCCAGCGTGCTCAGCAGCTGGCCAGCCGCGGGCCCAGCCTCCTCTTTCTGGACGAGGTGGACGCCTTGTGTCCTCGGCGAGGAGGCCCTCACCAAGCCCCCGAGAGCCGCGTGGTGGCCCAAGTGCTGACCCTGTTGGACGGCATCAGCGGGGATCGCGAGGTGGTGGTTGTGGGAGCCACCAACAGGCCAGACGCGTTAGACCCTGCGCTGCGCAGGCCCGGGAGATTCGACCTAGAGGTGAATAACCCGCGTCCCTGGAACCTCTCATCTTCTGGCTAGTCCCCAAGGGCCTTTGCTAAAAAAGATTTGTGGGTCACTGAGGCTGTATTAGGGCCCTTTGTAATGATTGCATCTAAGGTCTGAGAAGCAGGGTGGCTGGATGAGGTTAATTTGGTTAGGCAGGTCCTGAAAATGATTTTTGTGGTCTTGGTAATGTTGATTCTTACAGCAACTAGGTATCTACCAAGTGTATTAGTTAATTTTAACATTCAGAGCCACCCTATCTTACAAACTTTGATCTTAAATTGATCGTTGACATTTAAAAAATAGAAAGTTTAGTGATTAAGTGATACATGAGTTTTTTGTGACAAGCCAGGACCTTCATATTCCTCCTGACTACTGGATTATGGTAGGTTCTCAAAAATAACAGACTTTTTAAGTGGCATATGTGATTTTCATTGTGCAACTTTCCAGCCTCTTGGTCCACTGGAAAACTGGAATGCTCATATATTCAGAATCTAAGATATGCTTAAAAAATGCATGTTAGCTGGGCATTGGTGGCTCAATTCTGTAATACCTAGCAGCTCAGGAGGCTGAGATCTGAGGATTGTAGTTTGAAGCCAGCCTGGAAAATCCATGAGACTTTTATCTCCTAGTTACCACTAAAAGGCAAGAAATGGCGCTGTGGCTCAAGTGTTAGAGCACTAGCTGCTAACCTTGACCAAAAATGCTCAGGGAGAGCAAGCACCCAGACCCCTGAGTTCAAGCCCTAGGACCAACACACATACATGCATGTGCATCTGTTAGTTCCAAAACAGATCACTGCATTTTCTTAGACGTGAGTATAGAAAATTTAAATTGTAAATCTTAATTTTCCTGTTTTTTCCTTTGCTTTAGGTTGTCATTGGGACTCCTACGCTTAAACAAAGAAAGGACATTCTGCAAGTGATCATCTCAAAGATGGCTGTCTCCAGTCACATAGATTTGGGTCTTCTAGCAGAAATGACCGTGGGCTATGTTGGGGCTGACTTGAGGGCACTCTGTAGGGAGGCAGCCATGCATGCGCTCTCTCATAGAGAGAAGGTAAGAACTGGTCTGTGACCAGCTGTTTATCTTTATGAATGTCACAAAGCAATCTGGAGGTTGAATGTTTACATTTTTTTTTCCTGGAATGGTTTATAGCTTCCCTAGCTGTTTCTTAAAGTCATTTTTTATATCTCAACTACTCTAGCACCAGTACTCAGTCTCTCTTTTTAAGATTTCAGATTGGCTATTCTACAGGCTATTTCTCAGTTTGATTTGACTGATATTTTAGAGATAATGATCTTAGAAATAGTGATTTTCAACACTGTTGACTGGGAAGTCACTTGGTATATAATCTTTAATCCCTGAGTTCCTTCAGAAAGAAATCATTTCAGCAGGCTGATGATGTTATGGCAAAATTTTCACCCTCTGTTGAAACATCAAGATTGTCTTTTGAGGGCTGGGAAGGTGGCTTAGTGGTAGAGCGCTTGCCTTTCATGCATGAGGCCCTGGGTTCGATTCCTCAGCACCCCATAAGCAAAAAGAAAAAAGCCAGAAGTGGTGCTGTGGCTCAAGTGGTAGAGTGCTAGCCTTGAGCTGAAGAGCTGAGGGACAGCACTCAGGTCCAGAGTTCAGGCCCCAGGACCGGACCCAAAAAAATAAATAAATAAAGATTGTCTTTTGATTTTAGCTACAAAACAATGCTATATCATCTTCAATTTTGAAAGACCTTACGTAAAGAACTTACATTGTTCCTAGCTTCCTTTTCCTTGTTTTTCATTCTGAAGATGGAGAAAAGACATGTGAACCTCTAAGTCCTTATCTTATAGGTTTAGAATCAGAACTACTTGATGACAGAGGTATGAGAATGTATGCCTTTTGAGGGAGAGAATGAAAAAAAGAGATGGGAAAGGAGAGTCCCTCTGCTTTGAAATTCCAGGCTTGACCTACAGGGCTTCTGGCTTAGATGTGCCAGTGAGCTGCTGTCCTCCTAGAGTGGATCCTACTGCTGATGTAGAGAGCTTAACCTAGCATGGTTTCCACAGGTGACAGATGAGTTCAGAAACAAGGTGAGTGGAACAACGACAGGCAAAAAAATAAAAAGGAAGGGACAGAAACATCTGGGAAGATACTGACTTTTCCTTTCTGCACCTAGGCAGCTGAGGGGTAGCTTCTGTTTTTCTCTGTACCAGAACAGATGGATCTATTAAAGTTGATTAAAATTTTTCCTAAAGTCCTATTAAAGGATTAGAACTGTGATTTTATATATCAGAGGATAAGAATTTATATGCCTGAAAGGGTTGTGGAAATCAAATGAAATAACAGTAATCTGAACTATAAATGAGATTTTCAAATGTTAGTTGCTATTGCCTAAAAATTAATAATTAATTACTCAGCATCTAATACTAAAAACCAGGAAAGATGCATAGTTATATGTTGTATAACAATGTATTATTCAACAGTAGGCCAAATGTACAAGACAAATACCATATACCTTACCTGTGCAGTTAGCTATACCATCTAAGTTTGTCTAAGTGCCATTTTGTGTGTGTGTATATGTCAGTTGTGGGGCTTGAACTTAGGGCCTAGGCACTGTCCGGAGCTCTTTTGCTCAAGGCTAGTGCTCTACCATTTTTAGCCACAGTTCTACTTCCAGTTTTTGAGAGTTAACTGGAAATAAAGAGTTTCACAGGGCATTTGCTGCACAGGCTGGCTTCGAACTGCAGTCCTCAGATCTCAGCCTCCTGAGTATATAGGATTACAGGTGTGAGCCACTCAGCTACATGGGCTTGAACTCAGGGGTCTGGGTGCTTGTTCTCCCTGAGCATTTTTGCTCAAGGTTAGCAGCTAGCGCTCTATTTCTGGCTTTTTGGTGGTAATTAGGAGATGAAAGTCTCATGGACTTTTCTGTCCAGGCTGGCTTCAAACATTTTTAAGGGCCCACCCCCAGATGTTGCTGTTCCTATCTACAGAATACAGTAGCTATGATCATAATCCAGGCTGGCCTGGATCCTAATCTTTACCTCTGGAGTAGCTAGGATTATAGGCCTGAACCACCGTGACCAGTCAGGAGGGTTTTATTGTTGTTTATGTGTGTGCATGCCAGTCCTGGGACTTCTACTTAGGGCCTAAACAATGTCTCTGAACTTTTTTGATCAAGGGTAGCATTCTTATCACTTGAGCCACAGCTAGTACCATAGACTTTCCTGTCAATGCTGGCTTCAAACCATGATTCTCAAATCTCAGCCTCCTGAGTAGCTAGGATTATGGGTAGGAGCCACTGGCACCCAGCAGCTTTTTTTTTTTAACTAACAAAAAGAAAAGTGGTCAGGGAAAAACAACTTCTAAGATCATTTTCCCAAAGTCTAAGATCATTTTCTAAGATCATATACAGAGGAAAAATGATCTTTCTAAGCGTAATGTAAAAATAGCTAGAAAGTATAAGATAGGCTAATGGTCATTTGTGTTGGTAAAACAATACTGTAAGCAAAAAATCAAGACCAAGAAGAATGCTCTTAAGCCCCATTTCCTGAGAATGACCTAATATGTCTCAGGATAATCAATTTATAGTACTTTTATGCAGTAGTATATTGTGCAATTGTTGAGTGACAAGTATAATATTGACATAATAAAATTTCTAAGATAAGTGAAAAAAGTTAACATGACTGTATATACTAAGCTTCATTTTGCTTATCTGTTTGAAAGGATATGTGTGTGCTTATTGTCATGAAGGTACTAGAAAAGATGCACAAGAAACTGTTGGCATCCTCTGAGGATGGGTGCTGGTGGGAACTGATGGGAAGATGTTCAGTTTTTCTGTGCTTTCGCTATGTGTTTATACACATAGCCTTAGCTATGTGTATAAATTTTTTTATGATGATAACCAAATGGATTTATAAGGATTTCAATTTAAAAAGGAATTGTGCTTCAGTACTACAAAAAAAGGCCTACCTAATTTTTTGTTTGATTGTGTTTTGATGGACGTATTTCTTCAGAACCAAGACCATCTTATGATTGATGAAGCAGATTTTCTTGAAGCTTTTAAAATGATTCAGCCTTCTTCATATCGAAGTGTCATTGGACTAACAGACATAAAGCCTGTTAGCTGGGAGCAGATTGGTGGCCTTGAAGATGTGAAATTGAAGTTAAAACAGGTAATAGTTAATTTTCTTAAACCAATGAAAATGTTACCGATTAATCGGTACAGGTATGTAAAATGAAAATATACCACATGGAAACTGTTCTTGCTGTGGTCACTAATGTGATCCTTACATCTAAATTCAGTTTTCAGGCTATATTTAATTGGGAAATTATGTTTCATGATTTCTTCCCATCTTAACACTCTCTTTGTTTTTGTTTGAGAGGTTACATATCATTATTTGTGAGCCAGTGCCTTGGAGTTACATTGCTTAGAGACCAGTCTTAGTTCTGCCACTTGGCTAACAATAAGAGCTGGGCAAGTTAACTACTGCTAAGCTTTAATTTCTGCATCTAAAATTGTGGTAGTAGAACCATTTACCTGAGAAATATTCAAGATTCATGCACTATTAAGTTAACATCTATGAGTGTCTCTTTTGCAAAGTGCTGAGGTTTTAGAGATTAACTTTGCATTCTAGGAAGAACAGAACAGCAGAGTCAAATGGAACAGCAAATTGATAAGTGCATTAAAAGCAAAAGGTGGAAATACACTGAAAGTGAAAGGTAGATATAGCACAATAACCAGGAACAGAGATTTCACTTTGATTGGGGTGGTGAGGGAAGTCCAAGGAAGTGAAATTTGGGTTGAGACACACAGTGAAGAATGGCCCCAACGATGCTGGGGAAATGTTCAGGAACAGAAAGTATAGCAAGTAGCCAGGCGCCAGTGGCTCACACCTGTAATCCTAGCTACTCAGGAGGCTGCGATCTGAGGATCATGGTTCAAAGCCAGCCTGGGCAGCAAAGTCTGTGAGACTCTTATCCCCAATAAACCACTAGAAAACCGGAAGTGGCGCTGTGGCTCAGAGGTAGAGCGCTCACCTTGAGCTGAAGAGCTGAGGGATAGTGCCAAGTCCAGCATTCAAGCCCCATGACAGACAAAAAAAAAAAGTATAGCTAGTAAAGGTCATGAGATGGAACCATACCAGGTATTTGGATGCTGGATTATGGAAAGCCTTGAGTAAGGAGTTTGACTTTATTCTAGTCCTGATAGCAAGTCTTTGGAGGATTTAACCAGAAAGTGGTTCACCCTACCTTAAGTTCTAAAATCTCTAGCTACTAGGTAAAGATTGGATTGCATTTCAGCTCATCCTGAGAATGGTCAAATGAACAAAAGAGTCTACAGATTCATTTGGCATGTTATTGTTAACACTGAAACAAGTCTTCTATCACTTTCTGTCTGTCCATAGAGTGTCGAGTGGCCGCTGAAATTCCCTCAGGAATTTGTTAGGATGGGCCTGACACCGCCAAAGGGCATTCTCCTCTATGGTCCTCCTGGATGTGCTAAAACCACCTTGGTGAGGGCCTTGGCCACAAGCTGCCATTGCTCTTTTGTTTCCGTGAGTGGAGCTGACCTCTTTTCACCCTTTGTTGGAGAATCAGAAAGAGTTTTATCTCAGGTTTGTGTATTTTCCCAAGTATTTAAGTTTACCTTTAACTTTATTTTGATAAACTTCTATTTATAAATATTTTACTAGTTTTGTCTAATTATACAAATGGCACAGGTTTGCTTATAAAAATTTAGAAAATGTAGAAAAGTTTGAGATACTTCATAATCCCTCTACCTGTTAATCCCTCTACCTGTTTTGGTGAACTCACTTACTTTCTCCTTCCTCTGGCCTTCCCTCCCTCCCTTTCTTCCTTTTTAAAAATAAAGCTGTCCCTGAGCATTTTTTGCTCAAGGCTAGCACTCTACCACTTGAGGCACAGCTTCATTTCCAGCTTTTTGGTAGTTAATTTGGAGATACAAGTCTTACAGACTTTCCTGCCTGGGCTAGTTTCAAATTGCACTCCTCAGATCCTGACTTCCTGAATAGCTAGGCTCAAGCCACTGGTACTCAGCCCTGCTTTTTTTTTTTTTTAATTTAACATGAATGCTCTTAAATTTCATGTTAAATATTCTTTTAAAGTATTTTTTTTTACTCCTACATATCTTTATTCCTTGTTTTACATACTCATGCACCAATTCTTAGGCAACTAGAATCATTCTCTGTTTTAAAAATTATAAATAATGGGCTGGGAAGGTGGCTCAGTGGTAGAGCGCTTGCCTTGCATGCCTGAGGCCCTGGGTTCAATTCCTCAGCACCACATAAGCAAAAAGAAAAAAG